GAATGAACCTTCGTCGATACCTGAAAATCTATTGTTTCTCGAGTGAATATTCCTCGATTCATCACTCAGTCAGTTTCAATATGAGATCAATTTAGCTAAAAGGAGGTAAACATGATAGCTTGATTAGTCACTAACGTTTCGGGCAACAGTATGTATCAGTTTCGGTTTGGCCAGAAACAATGCACTGGTAGCCAGCTGGACAATTGCGAATACCCGCACCACAGTGGTAGCTGAAAACATTGAAATGCGACGATGTGTTTCATTAAGATCTTCTTATAACATTCTAGAAATACGGTGACGTCTGGGAACATTTTAAAAAATATAAGCAACTGGATACTTCCTAAATCATTTATCGTACACGTATATGTATTTTGCTGTCTATCCCATGAATTTACTTCAATTTCTCTATGATACTTCATCCAACTAATCGTATTTTCATCGTACGAACAACTCGGTTACACTCCTTATAGGAACGTGATATTGAAGAACGCTCATTAAAATGTGAATCGATGCGATTTTCACTCGTTGAAATGCCTCCGAAAAACAGTACCGATTTCCGTTCGGATGGAACAGTGGTTGCCCATGAGTGCATATGGATGTCTGCAGTGGTTGTGTGAGAAACACTTGCGCTGTGGACATAAGACTGTCCCCGGCAGCGCCATGACTTTGTACGAATAACGTGTATTCAGTATCTGTCTCTAGACCATACTCAATGTGCGGTGAGGTCACGTTTTGCACCTATAAATTATGAACTCTAATTCAAATTATCGAATAAAGAACAAATCGCTCGGAGACTCCTCCGGTTTTTGGAATATATAAGATCACTGAGGGTGTATAGATAGATCATTAGTGAAGTCAAATCACATTAAAAACGTGAATCCTGCTGTCAATTATCGACAGACGATTTTATTGGTTGGTAAATTTCAATATTGTGAGAAGAATGAGCAGCGAGTCAGCTAACTTCAATAATTTTTGCGTCGCGATCATCTTTCCTTATGAACAAAGAGAATGACTGAACCAAATGCGCGTTTGCACTCGGTTCAGCCCATTCAACTTTAACCCAATCCTCACCAATATCCACAACGGTCACATTCTCTGGTGCAGATGGATGTGTTTCTGCAAAAGAATTGATTCGATTATCCTTTAAAACCGACTGTTTATTGATCAGTTTCCTTTGATGATTGCCTTTTTCATTAATTAGCCGACTGACGTCGTAGAAATGAATCGACGACATATACGCAATGTGATTTTAAATNATCGAAGAACAAAACACATTTTCTTCATTTAAAAACCATGTCCAACTCAATGCTGAACGACCTGAACACTAGGTCGACCAAGCGATTTTCACATTCTCTTTGATCAAATCATCATCTCTCATTGATGCGTTCTGCTCTAATTGTTAGTGCTTCTGCTTCTGCTTCTGCTTAAGGGCTCTTGCCTCTCGAAATTATGAAGAATTTAAAATATCGATTGTAAAAGAAGTGAATCGCCAGCATACCATATCCCTGCCGAAGACATTGATATATGGCCGATAGATCAAGATTGAGACACAACAACGAGTGCATACTGAGCGGTTCAGCAACTCCACCACAAATTTTCAAGCAATCATGTTGCACTCCTTTACGAATGCAACACTGCGTATGATTACGTCCATCCGCTAAACATGGACTCACCTGAAAATCGCGATCAAATTTTACCCTCCCTCATTTGAAATCTTCAACAAATTGTGTGATATTTAGATGAAAGTTCACCAGATGTAACAGTTTTCAAGAGATTCACTTAAGAGAAGCACAAAAACTTCATTGCCATTGGGCCTGAAAATGGCAGCTATGATTTGATAGAACGCTGGCGAAGTCACAGAATGTTATTTGATGAGGTTATTAGCTGAATGTTATCAGCTTGTTAAATCACAGAATGTTATTAGCTTGTTAAGTGCTTGTTTCGATGTATTTCAGAGAAATACATCGAATCAAGCACTTAACACGCTAATCGAGATTTCTCATTATCA